GTCAAATTTTTTTATATCTTTTTTTCACCATCTCCACTACGTACTAATTAATTATACCACCAAGGCATTGACCACAACACATAATCACTAATTATTTTCTTATTTATTATACATGTAGTTGATCAATCTAGTACATAGTTGTGAATACTTGTGTCACCATGAAACCCCACAGTTATCGATTCATTTTGACTTAGTTCGTGTTTTGCATATCATGAACCGTTAAAACATTAGAATCAACTAGTCATATAAAATTTATTCGCAAAATATTTAGCGCATGGTTCAAATTTATTTAAGATATAGATTATATCATATAAAAGTTTAATCTTAATTACATATTATCTTTCTACATATATTTTTTTCTATGGGGCTGGCTTCTTTCTAGTCCGTGATCAGACTAGAAGATAGTGTTGGATCTGTAGGGGCCCACCACGGGTCCCGTTTCGATAATATAAATTATCAATGTGTAGAATTCATCGAGTACTATATGCTTATAAAAAATCACGATGATCAGATATCGATAGTTACATGATCAAATCAATTTTGTATAAAAAAAATAGACGATGAAAAAATAAATGGCAATGAGACAGTTATCGATATCCGATCAACGTGATTTTTTTACAGGCATATAGTGTTCGACGATTCTACACATTGAATAGTTCGAATAATCAAAATGAGACTTACGATGGATCCCCACGAGCCTAACAACACTCTCCAATCCGATCACAAATGGGAGGAAAGCCTAGCCCTTTGTATACAAATTTTATGCACATAGTTTCGCTGTAAGACATTATACTGCAGACATTACAGAGTGCAGGCTAATGCATGCAACTAAAAATTAATTAATCATCTATTTTAGATAATGAATTTGTGATAAGCTTTGTATAAAAAAGAAAATAAATAAATTATATATATATATATATATTTTATTTTTCACTATTTTTTTCTTTAACTCCATAATTCCTTCCCCATATGGTAAATTCAAACATAGAGAAATATTTACTATTTTTTAGTAAAAAATGAAATTTGAACCCTAACATTCACTTTTCACAATGGTCGTGGATTAATTTTTAATATTTAAAAATCATTATAAATAAGTTACAGATGAAATTTGTTATCATCATTATTACCATTATTCTTCATCACTTATAATTAAAAAAATTCATCAGTGATTTACCATTTTTTTGAAAAGAATAATCATCAATTATATCAAATAAGCTCACATTAATTTTGCCATTAATTATATATAAATGATATCATGTCTTAATAGCTAGTGTGTACCCAATTTTCATTCTTTTTCTTGTTGTGTCTATAAATTAGCAAAGAAAGAAAAAAGTAATGTAAAAATAATTAATTTTTTGTACCGAATTTATTATTAAATTATGACACATTACATGTCATTCATACATTAACATAATGCATTACAGGAAAAAACTACTACACTAATACAGTGATAATTTATTATTTAGTAAGTAAATTTAATTTAAAATTTTAATCATCACATGTGATTTAAATATTTAACCATCACAATATTGCCCAATTAAAAAAAAAAAATGAAAATCGTGGTTAATATATTCTGAAACCGGTCTTCCCAGAATATACTGCGACCGGACTAACTCTTAGACTGACTCTACTCCGAGTTGTCTCTGGACCGGAGTAGCCTTACTCTTCCTTGGGCCGAAGCAACTATCTCTTCTTGAGCCGGAATAAACTCACCTCCTTGGGCCGAAGTAACTTTGTCTCCCCAAGGCCGGAGTAACCTTGCCCTCTAGGCCAGAGTATTCAGTACGGCCTTTTTACGTAATCCTTCGCGTTTTGGGCCTTAATGCCCAACTCTCAGCTCGGCCCAATTTTTCCCAAAAATTACCCTCTCATTTAGTAAGTAAATTTAATTTAAAATTTTAATCATCACATGTGATTTAAATATTTAACCATCACAATATTGCCCAATTAAAAAAAAAAATGAAAATCGTGGTTAATATAGGGGATAGAGGATAACGGTGGGCTCAGACCACGCTGACGCACGTGGTATATGACATTTGTATATCGTAGAATGGTCCTATCATCTTAACATGATCACAACCGTCCGATTAGAGGACTATCGCACGATCAAAACCAATCATCACTTGATCGAGTGAAACCTCACCTTTGTACATCCTCGCTACTAGTTTGGATCCAGTGCCACGAAAAAAAAAAAAAAAAAAAAAAAAAAACAAGATGTAGGGTCCACCCGATCCACGGTCCAGATTTAGCAGCAGTCAAAATATACTTTGTTTTTTTTAGGTACAACGGAAATAAATATATGTTTCATGATTTTAGCAGCAGTCAAAATATACGCCTACCCATTTATGTTTCATGATTTGATTTCCATGCAAGCAACGAAAACAACAGAAATGCTTTGCAGCTCCAAAAACGAGTGCTCTAAAAGGGTTTTAATGGGTGGGACTCATTTATAATGTGATATTTATATTTTTTTTTTATTTTTTTTGTTAGTTACGTAGAGTTTAAATTAAAATTCTACAATTAGAGTTCTGTATTACTACTGTGAAAACAAATATAAAGAATAATGATATAAAAATTGAAATTTTATATAAAGTAAAGTATCCGATTTGAATTAACTATTTTAAATCAAGAGCTCTATTGGAGAAATTGTATTTTAGTGGATCGGGGGGAAAAAAATTATGTTTGTAGTGTAATTTTGTTCTCACTACTCTATGCATTTGCAATTTTTTCTTAAAAATATGACAAATATATTCATAACATTTTTTTAATAAACATGGTTAGAGAAATCAAACAAATTATCAAATATTATACGCAATAGTCACATGGTATGACACCCACACACCATATGGAACTAATGTGAATATTATGTAGAATATTTAATTACTTCGATTGTCTAGCATTTTTATTTTTTTATATGAGTTATTTTTAAATTAATTTATAAACAAAATTTTTATATAAAAAAATCTATATGAAATGGTGAAATGATTGTAAAATCCTGTTTATTCAAAAATTCTAATTTTTTTTTTCCCTTTGATATTAAAAATTCTATTTACGTTAGGCAAAGAGTTTGGATACAGACATTATCTTTTAACATTAATTCATGCCACCTACTCTCTATGCTACTAGATCTCACACCATTACATCATTATTTTAAAAAGTTTTTATGTTAGTGAATTTTTTTTAAATATTTTAAAAAATTTTAGGCTTTTATATTCACCTTGTTGAAACGAACTGATAAATTATAAAATTATAAAATATATTAAAAGCAAAGAATAGTGGACTTTTTTGGCTTATTTTAATTTTTGAAATAAATTTTTTTAAAAAAATTTACTTTGGATTAAAAAAGTAAAAAATTATGACATAATTTTTAAAAAAAAATTATACTAAAGATAAAAAGATTTTTTTAAAAGATGCCACTTATATAACTCACCCCAAACAACCATTCAAGTGGTATGAAATGGTGTAAAAAATAGTTCATAATATTATTCTTACTGATATAAATCATTTTCCATATAAAAATGTTATATAGATAGAAAATTATTCACTTTGCTTGGTTCTCATTTTTTAAAAATAGTTTTCAGAAAATTCTACACTCTTATTTTCCGTATTTTTTTGTTTTTACTGAATTTTTTTAATATTTTATGCAAATTTTTTACTTTTTAGACACACCTAACATAAATACACCTAAAAAGTAAAAAAATTGTAAAAAAAATCTTTTAAAAATTCACTAAATACCAAAAATATAAAAAAAATACAAGAATTTAATACATTTTTTGTATTTTTATGTATTTCTTAATTTTTTAAAATATTTTTTCACAATTTTTTAACTTTTTAGACACATCTAAGTAAGGTGCATCTAAAAAAGTAAAAAAAATATTTAAAATTTTAAAAATATTAACTAAAAACAAAAAAATACGAAAATCAAAAAACTCAGTTTTCAAAAAACTTAATCCAGAAAACTCAAACCAAACACAATGTTATATTCGCAGACCATGGTTATGAATCTATCCTTATTAACCCATAATTTACTCCGGATATATTTATGTGGTAGAAATTAAATTAATAAAGCGCGGAGTCTATAAATAAATAAATTTGAACCATTAAATTTTATTTATTTTTGATAAATTATAGGTTCATAAGTTTGAATTTATAATATTGTTGTTCTTCCGTCTCATTAATTTTCAATATATATTATACACCTTACTTTTATTAATGATTTTCAAAATAAAAGTACATACTTCTTTCGTCTCAAAATATTAGTCTCTTTTGGAGAATTTAATTTTTTTTAATAATACAATTATTATAATTCAAAAATATTAAATTTTCAAAACTATCATTTGATTTAAAATTAAAATAGTATAATTTTTTTTGAAATATCAATTGTCATAATTATACGTTTTGTATATATTAATATTAATAAATTAAGAAAAATGATAAAATAAGAGATTAATATTTTGAAACGGACGAAGCAATAAATAGTGTTCAGTGTGTGTAGTTTTAATTTTAGTTTTAGTTTTAGTTTTAGTTTTAGTTTTCTGAAAATTGAGTTTTTTATTTTTTTTATATATTTTTTTTGTTTTTAGTAAATATTTTTAAAATTTTAAGCAATTTTTTTTTTTAGATACACCTTACTTATATGCATCTAAATAGTAAAATATTTATAAAAAATATTTTAAAAAATTAATAAATATACAAAATTACGAAAAATGTATTTCTCTCTTTTTTAATTTATATTTTTGGTATTTAATGAATTTTTTAAAGATTTTCTTACAAATATTATACTTTTTAAGTGTATTTATATTAAGTGTGTCTAAAAATTAAAAAAAAAATATTGAAAACAAAAAAAAATATGAAATATTAAAAAGTCAATTTTTTTTAAAAAATATTTTCTAAAAACCAAAACCCATCAAATTTATTTATTTATTTCATATAGAAGAAGCAAAAGTCATTTAAAAAGAATTTTCAATCCCAGTATCGAGCCTTGTCTACATACCAACGCGTGGTTACTCTCGTAAAATCAAAACCAAGAGCAAGCAAGCGTTAATTCTCTCTCTCTCTCTCTCTACAGCGAGTGAACAACTTTGGTTTCTTTATTTTTCTTCTTTGCCTTGCCCTCTCTTCTCTCTCTTCTTTTACAAGTCCCAAACCACTCAACCTTCGTGCTCGTGAAACTTCACTTCTCTCTCTGTCAGGTAAATTTTGCTCTATCATTCTCTCTCTACCCATATCTATTTAAATACATATTTGTAATTTTTGTTTTTTGTTTTTTGTTTTTTGTTTATGTTTTGTTATCATTGTTATTATTATTTTTATTTTCACAAGAAAGGTTGACATTAAAGGTCAATCGATGCATAATCATGAAGACCCATTTACACAGCTCTTGTTCTACACGTGTGTTTTCACGTTCAAATTCCTCTGTGTTCTCAAACTATTTTTCCTTCTCAATGTTTTGCTTTGTTTCTTTCTAGTTTACTTACTGTTTTGATTTTTGATGTACTTCTATGTACTGTTCGAATCATTGTTAATGTGCCAACAACATAGAATTGTGTGTGATTAAACCAGGATTAGCACTAAACCACGGGTTTGAATTGCTTGGATGCTTTGTTCTTCTTGAATGTTTGTTAGTTTGGTCCAGAAAATGTTATGTTTGGTGTGTTATATAAGATTATTCTTGTTAAATTTCATTATTATTTGTGTGTTTTTTTTTTTACAGTCATGTTTCATTCAAATTCATGAGTGTGTGTGTTAGTATCAAAATTTTCTTTTTTGGGTTTGTAAAATGGGTATGGGTTTTGGTAAATTTTCTTGGTGATTACATTTTGATAATTCAGTTTTTGTAAATCTTTTTTCGGGAAGCTTGTCTGCAGCACCTTTTAGATTAACCACTCTTCAGTGATTTTCTCAATGCGAAATATGGGGAATTGTTTGTCTGCATATTCTGTTAATTATATTGCCTTTTCCCTTTTTAAGATTTTCAGGGTTGGTTCTGTTTTTTGAAAGCATATTTGATTATGCAAGCAAATACCGGATTCTCAACCTAATTGCTGTATTTAATCATGGTACATTATTGTCAGAGGAGTTAACAACATTAATTAGGGTTTTGTTTTTTTGTTTTCTTTTTAATCTTTAAATCAATATGTCAATCAAAAGCAGTCATTTTTGGGGTATGCTGTTTTGTTTGTTTTTGCTGTGGACCTTTGATACATGAGATGCCATCATGGCATTATTGTTTGTACTCCATCTGAATTTTGGTGTTTGTGTATTGCATTCTGGGATCTAATCCTGTCACAGTATTGAATCTATATACACATTCAAGGCTCTATTCGCTTCCAAGAAATTTTCATCGTTGTATTATCTCAAAATGTAGTCAATTTTTGGATGTAAATCATATAATTAAGTATGGTCTCTTTCTTTATAACTTGGACATAATTGTATAAGATTTTAGGATTTCAGTGCTATGAATTTCCCAATCCCAAGGGAGGACTCGAAGATGCTTAGAAGAGCCCCACTTTAGCAGCTGCATAGTTGTTACTTGTGATCAAGGTGGTTAAGTCCTCACATTTTAGGACGGGAAAAAATCCTCCACCTTTTAGTAATGGGAAGTTCCTAATTGATTCTACTTGTTGGTTGAGCCAAGATTTTTTACTGCTAGTTAGTGAAAGCTGTGGATGGGAATCTTTTAATTTGCGGTCATTCTACAAGTTTAAGCTGTCTGCATTTTGATTGTTAAGTTCAAATTTCTTTTGCATCTTTGACAGATAGATTCAATAAAATGGACGATAATGTGGAAGGTACTATAGTTAAATCAGCCGAGCAGTTCCTTTCTCCATGTTCTTCCAATGTGGGTGATATTTTTGGAGATCCATTGGTACTTCCTCGAGTAGGAGATCAGTACCAGGCAGAAATTCCACCTCTAATGATAGATTGTTATCATCGCCGGCTTATGAAGAAACCAACTGATACAGAAGTCATGTCCGACTTTCCAAACTGTTTTGCACTGGGGTTACCCATTCAAATTATGTGGGCTCTGTGTGAAATTGAAAACGTAAAAAAGGAGTCTCTGGTTCGTGCTAATCAAGATCATGCAGTTGATAAAAATTGGACAGTTTTTCGAGCAAGTGAAGTTATAATTAGACCTTTGCATACTCCATTGGACAATGGAGAAATAGGATTGTCAACTATTCATCCCATAATTAGAGGTGATAAGATGGACGTTGATTTTGCCACACCAGAAGAAAAGAAAACTAAGTTGGATCGAGCGGACAATGGTTATTATGTCCCTCTTCCTGGCTTGCTAGGTGAACCTTGGAGGGCCATTGAACATGATAGTTTCCTCCTCGGTTTATATATTTTTGGAAAGGATCTTCTTCTTGTGAAAACATTTGTCAAGAGTAAAGAGATGGGGGATATACTTTCATACTACTATGGAAAGTTTTACAGGTCTAATGAACACCGCAGATGGTCAGAGGGCCGAAAGATGAGAAGCAGACGGTGTATACATGGACAAAAAATTTTCATAGGTTGGAGGCAGCAGGAACTATTATCACGTTTGTCTTCTCATGTGTCAGAAGAATGCCAAAATAGGTTGAGGGAGGTAATTACTGCAATGCTGTTTCCTATTACTGATTATAAATTTACCTCTTGGGTTTAATATATTTGGATAAATATGTCAGCTGTTAATCATTCTCATACCCACAGGTCACTTACAATTCTCCTAAATTTCTAATGATGTTGCTCGATGTTGCATTATTTCGTAAATTTGTTCTTGATCAGCCCCTAATGATGTTGCTCATGTGGATGTAAATCTTTTGTAGAACTCCCAGGCTCCTTGGTAACTTTGCATACAGCTAATCATATCTTCTTCCTTCATTTATTTTATTTTTTCAGAATCATGTGATGTTTCTTTATTTTCCAGAAGTGCAGAAGTTTTTCTAAATTTGTGAATTTATTCGCTATCGGCAATAATACTTTCAAATGTCATTCATGTCATATTTTCTTTAGACAAGCCAGAGAATTCTCCTATGTGACAAAATTTTCAAAAGATTTATTGTGCTATTAAACAAAAGAACGTTGCCAAATGTAACAGATGTCTAATTGAATGAACACGCCGCAATGCTACAGTGTGTGTCTGGAGACCACTTATTGTTTGTTTGCCTTGGTTATCAACGTAATTTGAAGGACAAATCATTTTATTCTTAATTTTAATTTATTTATTTTTTCACTTCAATATCTTTTCCATCTGGTTTTGCTGAGCATTTCTTTACTTTATACTCACCCGTGTATGTGTTCTCATCTTCCGTTGTTGTACTTCTGCTTCGTAGTCACTTCACACCATTAGGTTAGGTGTTCTAAATTGCTTGTTATCAGTTTGAAACACTCTAATTTTTCCCTTCAATTTGCCAAGCATCTGGTTGGCAATTTTGACCTTTTCATTTAAATCTCCTCCTCTTACGGACTACTTTTCTCTCAAAGGACAAATGAGATGTTCGTACTTGGTGGTAATATGGATGATTAATTTATATACTTGGGCGATTCCCTTCAATATTTACATGATGAATTTTCCATTGGTGGATTAGCTAGCATCTTTTTAGTTTAGTAATTGAGAAGGGAAACCCAACTTGATGGTTTGGCCAACTTATGATTGTCAACTACCTTATCACTTAGACCATCTCCAAAGGGAGGTAGCAAGCGTGGTTAGCTAATGTTTCCTTTGCTAACCCATATGCAGAATTGCTACCTCCATTTGCTACTTTTGAGATTTGGCACTCACTCCAATGGAAGTAGCAAACTTTATTATCTTAATATAAGTAATGGGAAATTACTGTAGAGACTTGAGAATGGATGCCACGAGCCCCACGAATATCATTATTTTTTATAATCAAAATGATCTGTTTGTTATGTGAGATTCAACATGACAACGTTGCTGTATTTTTTGTGTCTGTTGGAGTGGGTTCCTGCCCATGTGGCACTGCAATTTGCATTTGCCGTCTCCTTTGGAGATGGTCTTAGTTTAGTTCCATCATAGTTTTGACTTTTTTTTTTAATAATAATTTTCTAGTTTGGATTACTTTCCTAGTTAAGACTAAAGTGTTTGGTTAATTCACTTCTAGCCCATTGTTGCTAGTGCCATCTCTCCTTTGATGAGTTAATTCTCCCACTTGTTGTGGCTAAGATCATGCATAAAGTATGTTCCTGGTTAGAGATAGAATTGATCTCTAGCTGAGAACATGTCCTCCTTTACATGTCTATTATTGGGCCAGAAGTATTTGTGCCTTGCATTGAAACAAAATTCAATCATCTAGTATCTAGGTTCATTTCGTATTAGTAATTTGACAGGGTTCTTGGCAACAACCCCCTATGATTTATGGATCATAATTTTGACTGTCCATGGTATGAATGTGCTATGCTGGAGATTGTGGTGGATAGGTGGAAAAACTATATTTAAGGCTTTGCATGAGGGCATTTAGGAATTTATGGGGGTGAATGATAAGAAATATAAGTGTTGACTGAATATGGACATGCTCAAAGAAGACCAGTGATGACGTCTAAGATTGTTGGTTTGATTTGAATTGATAGACATGAAAGAGGAAATCGATCTCTGTTTAAAATACTTGGTAGATTTAAATGTAAGATGTTGTTTCAAAAAGCTAAAATGGTGGAGTAGAAATTTTGTTGGTATTTGGAGACCCATATATTGCATTGTTGATCATTTAATAGGAAACTATGGATGGAATGGGAAAGCATGCAAGTTTCAAAACTTCTATGAGTTCTCTTTACTAAGCTGGGTTGATCTGATGCCAAAATACCCCCTTCCTCCCCATGAAAAGGAGACCAGTACAAGTTCTGAAACTCAGCACAACTCCCAATGAAATTGATTATCGAATCAGCCTTCCTTGGTGCTGACTTTATGGGGATGATTAATACACTAGGGTTTTTAGATATGATTGGGTAAATGTATGTTGTCTGGTACAATTCTTCATGTGGGTTATGAAACTTCAAAGAACGGAGAATCAGCCCAAGTACCCTATATCTGGTTGTCAAACAGGCTTGCACTACCAGCACTTTTGAGCTTCAGCTTCCCTTCATGAGGAAAATCCCACTTGATAAGTCTTACATGTCTGGTTTTACTCAGAACTTTGATTTTGAAGGCATATTTTTGGAATGTCACAGTACTCATTCTTGAAAACACCTTTATTTCTTAATTTCCAAATATGCCATACAGTGACACAAATGGAGATATTCCAAGGAATTTGTCTTGTTACAAGGATTTCTTAAGATTTTCCATGTCCAATATTTCCAATGCTTTGCTAGCTCAATATCTTAAGAGGTGACTGATGTCCTCCTCATATAAGTTATGTAGGACAGAGAGAATTAAAAGATAGAGCTCAGCAATCCTTTGTTTATTAGTCATTGTTTCACCATGAAGAATGATCCAAATGAAGCCTTTCAAGTTTCATGGGGAATTGCAGTTTCCAAAGCCACCTCCAATCTTCGTTGCTTTCAGATTCCTTCGCAAGCAGATTATAAGTGGAGCTAGTATGAAACTTACCACTGTTATTTTCCAGTCCAGCTAGGAGTATCAGGTTAGCTAGTAAATTTAGGTAAATGAATGCTCCTGATGCTATCCAATTGAGGTGATATTCAAAGCATTAACAATATTAGAAAGCCCCAGTCCCCCTTATAGTTTCTACATTGGATTGGTTATCAGTCTCCTTCTCAGGGTGGAAGTAAACAAGATAACTGTTACCATGCCATCAATCATTCCATAAGGTTATATCTCTCCCATTGCCAAAAATCCACTTGACACCTCTTTTGAGAAGGTCTTTTAGGCTGTGTTTGGATGATGGATTTGGGTAAAGATTTGGAAAGGGAAAGGAATATGAAAGAAATATAAGCTAATTTTTTTCTCTATTTCCCTTGCCTTTTTCTTTACCTTTCCAAATCCCTACCCATATCCATAATCCAAACACGGCCTTAGTTTTATTATGCTTTTCCAGGAATGAGAGGCTCTCCTTTTGGAAAGCCCTTTATGGATATTGTGATTACTCAACAGTTTAATCTAGAGGGGGCTTTTTTCAGAATGAATTCTCTGTCCCAGTTTGTATAGTTGGTCCAGGTGATTACTAGCTTTAGCCTTTTCTTAAACCCAGAACTCCTCTCTTGCTTTTGAACACAAGGTCCCCCAGTTCACAAGACACTTTCTTATTAAAGTTTCTATTAATTAATCAAGGTTGTTGCACATACTCATGGGAAGAGCAGAGGATTGCATCGTATGGTTGGGAATGGTTGAGGTAACAGACTGAATACGGATGGATCTGATCATGAAGGATATGGCATGGGCTTTCCATCTTGAAAGTCTCGTATGCATATTTTCAATAATATAATGGTAATGCCTTTTAGTGACTCTATCATGAATGAGGGGAGCTCCCAGATGCTTATCCAAATTAGAAGAGTAATACTGCATTTAAAGCAAATGACCAAAGCATTTCTTCTAGGAATGTTAGGAGAGATATGAAGTTTACATTTCTGAAAATTAGTTTTTTTTTACTAGAAGCAATTCAAAAATCTTTCAAAGTATATCTATAATAATTTCCAATTAGTATCATTAGCTTAAGAAAACAACATAACATCATCAACAAAGAAAAGATGGCTAAATCTAGGACCATTTCTAGAGTCTTTTTTTTTTTTTTGAATAGACACTTCTAGAGTCTTTGATACCCATCCATTTATTAGAACACCTTTTGGTTAATTAATATGGATGCATTAGCACAAACAGATAAGGGGAGAGAGGGTTGACACTGTTGAAACCCTCTTCCATGGGAAAAGAAAGGAAATTGTTTACCATTCTAAGGCACATAAAAAATAGAAGACTTTTAAGATCGTGCCCCCATCTCTGCCTTTCTTATTTCTAAGGGTATGAATAACTTCCTAGGAAATAATGCTATTGTCAGAGGTCTGCCTCCTAGGAATAATGCTAGGCTAACAAAGACTAATAAATTTATCAAGCATAGGTCTCAACATTTGAACAATAATCTTGGTCAAGATCTTTTAACTAACATTACAAAGGCCTATAGGCGTGACTGTTTGATACTTACAAGATTAATCGAGGTCTTATTAATGAAAGGGGGATTTTCTTATTAAAAAAACAATATCGAAGAACATTTCCCTGTTCTTAGCCTCCATAAACCTGCTTGAAATATTTCTGATTAGTTTCTTCCCCATTAGTTACTGTTGTGGTAGAAGGGTTCTGGTTTGATTCCAGGGTTGCATCCTTCAGAACTGGTACTTCCTCCATGTTATCATCTTGCAATGCAGGACCAGATGGTCTTCTTTGTCTGTGAATTTCCTATCGTAGCGATTATTGGTGGCAACGGTCACTAGAGTATTCTTTGAGAAGAATATGCTAGCAATTGAACTTGCCAAATGCGGGGATAATTGCTAGAGTATTTAGAAAGATCACCTGCTAATGACAATGAAAAGACCATAGAATGTAGCGGTTAAAATATTGAAGTTCTAAAACTAAAACTATCTGTTTGAAATGACCCTGAACTAATAGAACAGAAGAGAAAGAGGGCACTCTCCTTTGGCAATATTATGTGGTGCATGCAAAGAGTTGATCTCTGTACTTTTGACGTTTACAGAAATTTGGAAGTCATAAATTTTCTTCAAAAATTTGATTTATATTGCATGTACAAATCTACTTCTATATGTTGTACTTGGGCTGCTGTCTGCTTGCCTCTCTAGGTTTGCTTTGCAATGTATAGGGAGAAATTTTTTATCATGCAAGTAGAATATATATATATATATTTTTGTTGTGGAAGTGCCTCTGTTATAAAATTCACTGTGACACAATTGCGTTTGGTTTACGCTTCCAAAACCAAAAGGGAAAGAAAAATTGAGAAGGTTTTTATTTTTTATTTTTCTCTTTTTGTAGATTAGTACAATCACCTTATATCCATGCAGAAAATAGTTGAAGATGGATGTGAATATTAACATCCACATATATACACGCAAACACATTATAAAACTAAGTTCTGGTGCATCCATCGAAGCGGATGTCTGAGTTGATGCATCTTGAATAGTGAGAATGCAAGAAACAATAAATGTTTCATGCACACTTATGTGGTAGTTCTTTGGACCCTGAATTAGCAAATTTGTTTCTTAAATCGAATTGCTTCCATGAAATTTTAATAAATGTATCAGAATTTTTTTCTTCTTCTAATTATAGGGAATATTCATTCTGCAAAGAGTCTTGCTATGAATGTTGGTCACTCTGTAGACTTATTATCCCCTGTACCCCTTTTCTTTTGGCCACAGTGAGAATGGTTCTTTCTAGAAGTAGAGATTTTGATTTGATCTTTTATTTTTGCCTCTGACTCAAATATTGCTGCTATTTGTTGGCTCTGTTGCAGGTCTCTAGGGCATTTGGAGAGGGAAAATTTTCACTGGAGGAGTACGTTTTTACTTTAAACGATACAGTTGGTGTCGGCGTTCTTGTAGCAGCAGTAGGTATTGGCAAAGGGAAGCAAGATCTCACTGGAACTGCTATGGACCCTATAAAGACCAATAATTTGTTGTCTGTTCGTCCTGAAATTCCAATTGGCAAAGCATGTTCCACTCTTACATCAGGGGATATCATCAAGTTTTTAACAGGAGATTTCCGGTTAAGCAAAGCCAGATCAAACGATCTGTTTTGGGAAGCAGTATGGCCACGTCTTTTAGCAAGAGGATGGCACTCTGAACAGCCTAAGGATCATCATTGTTTTTCCAGTTCAAAGCATTCTTTAGTGTTTCTTATACCGGGTGTTAAGAAGTTCTCAAGAAGGAGACTTGTCAAAGGAAACCATTATTTTGATTCTGTTAGTGATGTCTTGAATAAAGTTGCATCAGACCCTGGGCTTCTCGAGGTTGAAGTTGAAGCAGAAAAAGCCAGCGAACAAAAGGAAGAATATCAATCAGACTTGCCCGTAAAACAATGCCCAGATAGTTTGATGAACTGGCAACGCCATTGTTACCTCCAACCACCTGCTTCGAATTGCAATGGAGATCTCGTGAAGTTTACAATAGTGGATACGAGTTTGCTTCATGGAGGAGGGTCCAAATTCAGAGAGTTGAGAACATTACCCATTGACACTAGAAATATATCTATGCTCTCTGATCTTTCCAGTGGAACCGAACAAGATTCCTCTGATGAATCTCAATATGAAGCAGAGGAAATTAATGCTTCAAACCCAGCGGAAGATACAACTGAGAGCGAAACATTTGTCGACTCACCAGAATTAAATAGCATTCGAGACAATGGTTTGCCTAATGATCCAGATCTGACCATTCTAGTTGGGGGAAATCACAAGGATTGGAGCACTGGTATGTGTACCAAAAAGAAGTTGAAGGGGATGATGAAATTTCGGTTTGGTCAGAAGGCGAGATCTGACCAGTCAAATTATCTAGCCCCCATTGCGGAACCTTGTAGCCTTGGAGAATCAAGCCCCATAGTTGAAAACATCCCCACAGACACCAAGCTAAAAGAAGAGTCATCTACTTATGGTTTGAACTCGCCTGGTATATGTCAGAGCATGGAATTTCAAGTGGGTCCATCTCAAACTTTATCATCTTGCAGTTCTTTGGCTCTGGAGAACCCAGATGAGAGTGATCAAGGCATTGTTGATCTAGTCACAGAACCATCTTTTGAGAAGCCTCAACCCGAGACTATGATTGACCTGAACCTTCCTGGTATCCCTCAAGATTCAGGAAGTGATGAAACCATCATTGAAACCATCGTCCCTGATATTGTGCACAATAATGATGTTGAAACCATCATCACAGACATTGTGCACGATAATGATGTTGAAACCATCGTCACAGAGATTGTGCACAAAAATGATGTTGAAACCATCATCACAGACATTGTGCACAATAATGATGATTTGGGTGAAGATAGGTCACTTGTTCTGCCTGAAACAAGCCAGCAGTCCTCGAATGGTGGAGCTAGTGCAGAGCAACAACCTGCCTTGAATGGTCGGAGGCAGAGTACAAGAAACAGGCCATTGACAACAAAGGCACTGGAGGCTATTGCATGTGGGTTTCTTGGCACAAAGAAGAAGAGGAAGTGTGTGGATGGTCAAACTCAAAGTGATTCAATGTCAAGGTCTTCTCGACTGGTCCGTGGCAAGTCTGATGCTAATTCAACTTTAAACGATTGTGCAGATAATGATATTGCATAGTGCAATATAGAAGATGTGGTGGATGGAGCAGCATTGTAACATTAACATGGTTAGCGAGTCTCAGGAATGATCTGAACAGAAAGGTTTGAAGGGTTGATGGTGTTATCAAAGCCATATGAAGTATGTATGTATATACCTTGGGATTCTGTTGCTTAGAACATGAAATGGTGAGAGGTTTCCTAAGACTCGATTCACTTTCAAAGGTCTTTCGACACAATCCCAACACAACTTGCAGTGGTGCTAATTGAAGATTAACAGGAAAAGTATTTCAAGTGCTGATCATGTTGATGTGGATTGCAAAAGTTTGTGTTTCAATCACTCTGATAGTGTCCAAGTTCTTGAAACTGTGCAGCCTGGTCATACAAAGGTGAACACCCATTACTATGCCATCATGTTGTAATAAGTACAGCTGATTTTCAAGACCCTCTTTTTTATCCTTTGGATAGGTCTTTAATACTTTACCTCCATCAATAATGAGTAGTTTTCTTTGTTAATTTTTGTTGTCGACTTGAGTAATACCCTATTTGAGCTTTTGGCTCTCATTGGATTCTTCAATGGGATTCTGGATATTGATTAAGTTTGAACCATTTCTTGCTTTGTCGTTGCAATTTTAACCATTGTGCTTGAATTTCTTTAGGTGGGACGGTAAGATCACAGATCTCTTTCCTGTCCTTCTTTAATCTGTCCCACAAGCAGTTGGTGACTGTTTTTGCCATTATAGGCGGCGTTTGGATGGCCTGATTTAAGGATCTGGATTGAATATTATCCCCATTTGGAAGGCCTAAACAAGAAAATGCCGAACTAGCTTGGCCCACTCCAATGTCTCTGGACTCAAGATGAAAACAGAGTACACACTGGATTGCCCATGAGCCTAATCTTGGCCCAGACTATGTGCGAGTTTCCCTAAACATTGTTCATGAAGGATATCCTTAGATGCTCCAAAAGAGAGAGGATTAACTTAGACATGACCCAAAAAAGGTCAAACATTTTTTTTTCCAATTTCTTTTGTCATCTTTGTCCTAATGTACTCTTTACTGTAAGATAGAATCTTGAGACATGATCTAGTAATCAAAATTTTTAAAAATAACACTCAATTAGTACACATTAATGTGTGTTTGAAAGGAAAAAGATTGAATACACACCTAATTTTTAGCATAATGCACAAAGTGGCGGTTCTAATACTTGAATTCATAATCTTCAAGTTATTAGGTCAAGAAAATCTCCTACCAAAAAAAAAAAAAAAAAAAAAAAAAAAAAAAAAAAACCACCCTATAAAGGTAGTGATGATGACTCTTAAGATTAGGTTTTCTTCTTTTTTATGTCTTTTTTTAAGATCATCTTTACTATGAGTCAAAAGGGTTATTGATTTGTCTAAAAGAACCCCTTTTTGATTGCCCTACCATTTGATTCGCAATCACAATGCAAGCAGGAAAGCTCTTTACTTCAAAGAAAAAGGTTAAAAGAAAAGAGACCTTGAGACTTTTTCTGAAGTAATTTGGAGGTTCATTAGCATATAGTTTCAGCATCTTAGGCCTCGTTTGATAAGTGATAGCTTTAGTTTAAAAGTTAAAAAGTTATCAAAAAAATCAAAATGCCTACAATTTTTATCCTACAGACTTATGCACAGTGGCCTACAAATCTTATGCACAGTAACTCCATCGAAGATGGTGTACTATGCACCTTCTTGTATATGTATTGAAAAAGTAAAATATGTGAACACAAATATTTACAAAAATTAAGAAATACAAAAAAAAGTTTTTTTTTGTACTTTTTGTATGTTAATGTTTTAAAGATTTATAAAAATATTTTTATACGTTTATTGTATTTATGCTAGATTTTTTAAAATATTTTTATATACAAAAAAAAAAAATTGTACGTATGCACCTTCTTGATAAATTTGTCAACAACCCCCATGTTTCTCTCAAGGCACAGGTTACTTCATGCTGCAAAATTGTCCTTGGTATTACTTCACTTGACAGCAGGTCAGGTGAAGTCTCACGGGTTGAATTCAATTTTACCACTTTTAATTATTTATATTATTTTACTACACCTCTTTTCGTAAAAAGTCAAAAAAATTCTTTCCAAACATACAAGTTTTTTTTATATCATATTTTAACTAAAAAGTCAAAAAAAATACTCAAAAAAACTTATTCCCATACAAGGCCTAAGTTTCAAATTTTGATTAAGCCAGCTTGATCTATCATATGTCCCCACTTCAAAATAATATTCTGAAGATTTCATTATCATCCAATTTATTAAATATAGTTGGCTGATTCAGTTTCTAATTATTTAAACTCTAATCATTTGTTTATTTGTTTTTATATTTTTATAGGGAACCTTTCCAATTCAAGATAGGGCCACATTGGACTTACCCTACAAAATAAATCATGAATCCTGAGTCACCTGCAACCCATGTGTATTCAGGAGTCGAACTTAAAACATCTAAGTTTACGATCCATTCCAGAATAATTCATTTACAACCAGACTATCAGTAATTTGCAAGTACTATTAGAGTCTAAATAATTGTAACTACCAATCTCAAGCATAGATTAAAATATTTATAGTGCACTATTTACCATCTAATTAATCAAAAATGGAAGAAGTTAGTAGTATTAATGAAATGACTAAGTGACATCAAATTGACAAAGGTCTTACTTGTAACACAACTACAATGTTAAATTTTTTTTTTTTTCCATTTCTTCTTTCTTTTGTTTTTTTAATATTTTTTTTTTTACATTCCACATCAATGAAATTGAATAAGACTTAGCCAATGCTTTATTTAAATAAAACATCTTTGTCATAAAACATGCATAAACAAATAATTAATATACAATTAATGTATGCTTATCGACGTCGACGTCGTTTATGTTGGTTTTATTCAAGGGACTCTTTTGTTTATGTCAATTAGCAGTTGGTTTGGCCTTACTAATGATGAATTTGCAATGTACCAACTTCCAAATGCTATTCTAATCATCTTTTAATTGGGCTTTTAAATCATAATATAATTGAGAAAAATATGGGAATTCATGTTGGAATAATATGTCTGTCGTTACATTGTTGTGCTAATGTTGCTTCATCAGATACATCGATATTCATCGATAAAAACCAGGTGAAATTTTTGTCCTTAATTATTATTAGTAGATTGTGATGGAGAAATTAATGATAATTTGAAATACTAGGATGATCAGATCATACTGGTCTTTTAATTATCTTGACTGGACTTTTAGAAATTAGCCCATATTTGATATTCTAATTTCTGTCTCTTGTTTTTAATTTTTAGTTGATTTACTTGGTCCTAATTCAGTAAAGATAATTGCACAGAATCCCAGCACAAAAATAGATTTGAATAATCTTAAATATTCGGATTTTTTTTTTGGGGGGGGGGTATATAGCATTAAGAAAGACACGAACACTTAAAAATTTGTCAAGAAATTTACTCAAAATTGAGAAATGTGGCTAAAATTTAATTGGTGTATTGTGGAATTTATGTATAGAATGAATCTGGATATCACATTGATATTTTTGGTTAAAATTTTGTGTAAAAATTATATTACAAAATATTAGGCTATCAACTTGTATAAATTAGTGTGGCCTTGACATCCAATTATTAAAATTTAAAAAACAAAAAATTCAACTAACAAACGTACTTGCTAACTTAAAAAAGAAAAACAAGAAGGCCATATATGACAAATTATAAGATCTACTATTTATTTTACTGATTAGTGAAATGAATGCTTCGATCAACTTGTACAGTAGCTATATATGGAAACCCATAGCAGACAAGACTAAAATTCAACAAATCCAGCTTGGAAAACACAAAGGCCAAAATCAGTGTCATCCATACATGGCTTTATTATTCTTCACTTGATTTTTGAAATGTTTTCATATAACATTTTCAAAGATTTGAGTATTTCATTTTAGTACAATATTAGGGTAGGCACATAATGAAAATTCTAATGCTTCACATATCAATTTATCTCTTGATATCACTGTTTAAAACCTTGATTTGTAGACTCGTAAATTTTCTTGGCACAAAAAAAAAAATATATATATATATATATATACTTTTCACTTTTAAAAGACAACAACTTTGAATTTTTCTGATTAAAAAAAATGGCATTAACTTTGTGTTGTGTCATTGGTCCTCATCAAAAAAAATAGTAACATGTTTTATGTCCCCACAATTAAATTAAAACGTTAACGTTAAAGAAATTGTACCAACTCATTTGGTTCTGTTTAATCTTTTGGATCAAATGAGACAAAAGGGTTTGGCTTTAATTATATAATATAACCATTGCTAAAGTAATTAGGGAGAATTATACCCCAACGAGATGTAGAAAAAAATACAAATACACTAAAAAATTTATAAATTTAATTATTAATATTTATAAACTTTTCAATTGATTGGTAATTATTTTTTATAGTGATGTGATATTTTCCCAAATAAATATGGATCCATGCCCTTGCAAAATGTTGTTCCTGAAAGTATGTGGTTTTTACAATTTCTTTTAACCTTGAAAAAAAAACTGAAAAAAAAATTGCTTTTTACTCAACTCGAGATTAAAGTACAAAACGACACATGGTTTAAGGTTTTACTGAAATATCATTTTAATTCTGATCTATTTTGGTGAATTACTAAATGATACAAACATTTAAGGTTTTATATATTTCGTATAATGGCCCCATCTATTCAACTATATATATATATATATATATATATATATAAATTCATTTCATTTCATCATACTCTATGCAAGTTACATCATGGGGGGCCCTAGATGGATTTAGATTGAATTATTTGATTATGTTTAAGTACTTTTTTTTTTTTAGCTTTTCTTTTTCTCTAATAAGTTTTCTCAGCAATCAAACCACTAGTTGAGCTAGAAAACACAGTTTACTTGACACTCTCAATGTACAATTTTTAAAGTTTGACACCGACTTGCTTTTTAAAATATTATTATTTCAATGATGAAGTTGCTCCAAGTATAAAATTAGATAACAAATTTAATTAAATTTGGGGAAATCATTAACTGCATGAAAGTTCTTTTAAAGCTACAATTTCGTTATCATGCTTCTAAATTAATATTTGCATTCCACTATCTCTTAAAAGGAGTAATTACTCAAGGAAACTATTCAATACTCTCGGAGCACCACATGTCCACACTTCAAACCAATCACCAATTAGTTAGTCTCATGTTGTCCCCCATCTCCAACATAAATCGTGGGCCCTTGTGTCTCTCCATCAATCAAAACCTTATGGAGTACCACATGTCCATACTCCGGAAGTACTAAATAATCACCAAATTACTCAGGAGAGCATCTATTTACACACCATCTTTTATTTCAAGGCACATCACTAAAATATTAACCTTATGAAAAAAAGACCACAAAAAACAAAGGGCTATAATACACACCTTTTGTAAAATTACTATAAAGGACTATAATGAATACAATACACACCAAGTATCTGAAACATTACTTACGTATCTTCTCTCTCAATATCATCACCCCGACCTCTACCTCAACCCTGAACTCGACCTCAGCCACGAGTAGGATTTGTTAATGCACGATGTCGTCTCTCTAAGGCAGTGAATGAAATACACGAAGGGTCATCCATTTTTAAAAATGAAACAGAAAACAATGAAGGATAAGTCCGTTCAAAAGTACAGAACCAGACAATTATATTTTGTTCAACACTCTAATTTCGAACAATATGATTATGTTCGATAGTCTACCTCCGAATAGTTTAGTTATGTTTGACACTAAAATGTCAAACAAATTTACATCGTTTGACAGAATCAATCCGGACAAATGGTTAATGTTCAAAACTACAGTGTCGAATGGTTCGAAAAATAAAATTTCAAATACAATGCTCATGGTAATGGAAAAACGTACATAAAATCTTAAAATCTAAGTCAAATGAGAATTCTTACCTATTGTATCTACAATGTGGAGTTGTTTCCTACTATGATGACAACAACGAGCACCACCGGCGACGTCTTTGGTAAAACAGATATTGGAGGAGAATGGGTCTTCACCGCTGGTTTAGACTGGGACGACAATGAAATAGAGAATGGAGGGGGAGATGGAAGATTGTGGATAGGTGGGTGCGTGTGTGAGTGAGTGAGGGTAAAAATGGAAGATTGTGGGTGGAGTGTGTGAGTGAGGGTAAAGATGAAAGATTGTGATATGTATTGAGCAAATGTTTTATTTATCAAATTACTAAAAGTATGTCTTGAGTAGTGATGTGCCTTGAGATGAAATGTAGTGTGGAAATAGAGGCACCTACTATGTAGTCTTCTCGAAACACCTTGATGAATAACTACCTGACCTAAAAAAATAAAATTATATGTGAAAACTACAAAAACATCATTAGTTAAGCACACCGTGGTGCAATGCTTTCGGAAATTGGATAATTTTTTCTCTTTTTTTTAAAACCTTTTTTAATGATATCCAAATAAAAAACATATACAAATAAGGTGTTAGGTTATAGTCCTATCATTTTAAAATTTAAAATCCATCAAATTGTATTGTATTTATAAAAATATCACTGTCATATCATTCAAGTGAACAATTCAATAGAAATTTTTTGAAAATATCTTATCTTATTTTTTTTGAAAAAATGTAACCATAATGATGTGCTAGTGTCATTTATGTAATCAAAAGCATTTTAATCTCAATGGCTCTTTGTTCTAAAGTACTAGGCTCAAATTTATCCAAATCATTATATATAAACTTTCTGTGTGAAATTTATGACATATCTATATATATGTTAGGGGGGTGGGGGGCAATTTTTAATGAAAAATGATATTCAAGTCTGCTTTTTAAATTCATTTTTTAGACTCAATAATGTGTAAGTTATATGATTGGTTGATAATTGAAACGATATGAGAAAAAATATTACCTTAGATATCTTAATTGATTGTCATGGTGTAGAATTTGAAAATTGAATCTAATTTTTAGACTTATATGGCAATGCTAAATTTTAATACCAACAGTAGAATTTGAAAATTGAATCTAATTTTTAGACTTATATGGCAATGCTAAATTTTAATACCAACAAAGTTAGGGGGGTATTTCCCTATCAAACTGTCTCTTATGAACACTACATCTATTATATATAAGCCAAAGAAAGACCAACTTGTGCTCTTCATATGCCAGAAAAATTCCTCACCAGAAAAAGAGGAGAATTCTCTGGTTTTTGTCTTCCTCTACTGAGATCAGATTCCTGGTTTTGTGTTCACCAAAAAACGAGCTATTAATATAGCTACCCCTTTATATAAACAAAGAAACAACAAAGTTTTGCTAAAAACTCTTTCTAATGTCAAATATCACAGGTGATGATGGGAGTTTCTCTTCAGGGGAAGAAGAAGTCCACCAGCTTCAAGAAAAGCAGCTTCAAAGTCACTTCCATGGCTCAGGTTCGGGACCTTCCCCTACTGCAACTGCTAGCAATGGATCAACCTCTAAACCATCACTTCTTAAGAAGAAAAGAAATCTACCGGGAACTCCAGGCAATTTTCGAAACACCCCTCATCAACCTCAATTATGTTTCTAATTTTACATTTTTTTTTTTTTTTTAACTCGGTGCATGCCTCACTAAACCGACTAATTGTACTTGTCATGTCTTTCGAAATAATATGATATTCATTAAATTTTAAATTACCTGGTATGAGTTTTGACCTAAAACACGATTAGTTGGTTACGCGAATCTAGCATTTTGTTGGCCTCGTTTAAATATTGGAGCATGGCAAGGTTTTGGTGAACCACAGAATAGAAAAATAAAGGTGGTTTTAAAATTTGAAACTTTTGTTTTGAAGAATTATAAGTTTTAGTTGGCAGTTGGATCATCAAATATGATATTAGAAGCTTTTCGTCACAACTTAACCGATCCAATAATATAACCATATCTAACTAAGTTTTGTTCAATTGCTAACCACCAAAATTAATAAAACTTATCATAGAATTTGATTTTGGAAAGAAAAGATTGTTTGTCTTGCTAAGGGTTCAATAATTGCTTGGAGATCACAATAATTGCTTGGGACTGTGCATGATTGCACTTTTCTTACTCTTTTCTTCTTTTTTTATTTATTTATTTTTCATTTTTGAAACTGTAATTGAGTGGGTGAGGCACTAGTCATAGATGAAATTTGCTAAATTTAGGGTTTCTATTATCATTTTCACTTGTATTTCATGAACCATATTAGAATTTTGCAAATTAAAATTTTCTTATTATTTATTTTTATTTTATTTTTTGTGTGGATATAGATCCAACTGCTGAAGTTGTTGCTCTATCACCAACAACACTAATGGCGACAAACCGATTTGTGTGTGAGATTTGCAACAAAGGGTTCCAAAGGGACCAAAACCTCCAACTACACAGAAGAGGTCACAACCTTCCATGGAAGCTCAAGCAAAGAACAAGCACTGAGGTGAGAAAACGAGTATACATATGCCCCGAGACAACATGTGTCCACCACAACCCAGCTCGAGCATTGGGAGATCTTACCGGTATCAAGAAGCATTTTAGCCGGAAACACGGAGAAAAAAAATGGAAATGTGACAAGTGTTCAAAGAAATATGCAGTGCAGTCTGACTGGAAAGCTCATCAGAAAACTTGTGGCACGAGGGAATACAAATGTGACTGTGGAACCATTTTTTCCAGGTTTGCTTAATTTAGTTTTCTTTAAATTTACATGTCCATAAATTAAGTTAATTGCATCTTGAAATATGATTCTGAAACCTTTGGCATGATTGGTGAATATATTGTGTAGATTTGAATTTATTGTGGAGACATTCTTAGAATGAATCTGGTTGTAAATGTCAAATTTTGAATGTTTTTCTAAATAATTTTTTTGAATACGTTAGATAAGTTGGTGATTAAGATGAATTCTTGTTGAAAAAAATATCACACACTTGAAAAATTATTAGATATTTTCAAAATATCAAGTGATATTATTTATGTGATATTTTTGATCAAGTAGAAATCACAATACACTTAAAGCTACTTATTAAAGGTGAGCCGATAATGTCAAACTTAATAAAAAATTTACTATATGATTAGTTTGAAATGAGTAATTCTACAAACCACGAAAATGTGGTTATAATTCTTGTCACCAAAGTATCGTGTATAGTCAAGTTGAGTGGGACCAATCTTACTTATAATATAAAAAAAAAAAATAACAATGGACAAATATAAATCGGTAATAAGATAGGTGATCATAATTTTGTAGTCAATAGATTTATCAATTTGAAAAACAATAATACATAATATTCAAAAGACTATTAAATAATTAATTCGCATCAAGACTGAATTGGCCAAATAAACAAAATATTAAAAAATGGCCGACAAATTGACCACTTTCTAAATTTTCAACTTTCAAATCCAACCCATAAGACAACCAATATTTTGTTCTTATTAGGATTTATTTATTTATTTATTTATATTTTTTTTTCACATATATGGAACTAATTTAGCCGCCCACCAAATTGGTGATTGTGCAGGAGAGACAGCTTCATCACCCACAGAGCATTTTGCGATGCATTAGCTGAAGAAAACAACAAAGTAAACCACCAAGGACTCATCCCCAACATGCATGGATCAAACTTACAATCCCAAATCCCTGAGCTCATGTCCTCATCCATGCCCATCAATACCCACACCAACTCATCCATGGGGTTACCAGAATTCAATGGCTATGATCACAAAAACCCACTCAAATCCTTCCCTCAAGAACTTGTTCCAGTGCCATTCAAGCCCATGAACATGCCTACTGGTGGCATGTTCTCAACTAGCTCAGGTACCTTATTCGGTGGCCCGAGAAGCGTATCTTCATCTCCTTCAACTCTTCAGCTCAGTTCGAATAGCTCATCAGGATTCAACTATCTTCAAGATAACAAAAATGTCAACCAATTATCTGGATCGGCTCACATGTCCGCGACAGCGCTGTTGCAGAAAGCAGCCCAAATGGGTGCAACTGCAAGTAATAGCATCAACTCACCAATGATGCAGAAGAGCTTTGTTAGCAGCATGGCAGGTCCTGATCAACATGGCATGAGACCTTCATCATCATATGGTGCAATTCAGCAACATAACAACTCATATGAACATTTTCAAACACAAAATGAGCAGTCAAATCTAGTAGGGATCAATGATGGAGGAGGAGGAGAAGGAGGATTCAACAACCCAATGTTGCAAAAAAGCCCACAAGAAATCTCCCAGTTGTTTGACTCTGGAACCGGTGGCGGCGGGGCTATGAATGAGATGGGAATGTTTGGAGGAATGTTCATGAACAACACAGAGCATGAGGAGGATAGTAATAGTTCTAGTTTGATGCAGGGAAGAGCTCCAGCGGGTCGAAATCTGACAGGACTGTCAAGGTTAGGAGGGAATGATAGTGGTACTAATGATATGATGACAGTTGATTTCTTGGGAATTGGAGGATCAAAGCCTCCAAATTTGCATGAACATGTACAACAACAACAGCAACAACAGAGATTGGTGTTGGAAGCAATGAGTCAACAGAGAATGCAAGTGATGAATCCTTTCCAGGAACAACTCCCACAAGAGGAACCATCCATGGAAAAGCCCATATGGGATGTTTGAGAGTATGGAAGTGTTTGATGTTTTTATTTTTATTTTTTTTTGTGAAAATTTAGTTGCCTAGAATTAAATTACAGAACACATCATAGAATAGAGATAAAAGTTGATGTACACATGTGAAACTATCTCTTGTTTTTAATTATGATTCATTTTGTGTTTTAATTTTGTATATCAAAATGAATTGAGATGGCAAGAAGCTAGCCACGCAACGAGGTACAAATGAAGGACATAATTGGGCATACATACGCTCGATCGGCCTCAAGTAGCCATTGTCAAACATCAGCTTCTCAATGTTCAAAAAATTTTAAAAAATGTTCAAATATGATCCAATTAGCTAGGCAGCTCTTTGTAATCCAATTCATCAGGGTTACATTTTATCATTGGTGTGCCTTTGGAATAGAATTTGATCATATTTCATTGTCCTGAAATTGTTGTTGTGGACACTAACTAGTCGACCCGGAGCCCGAGAGAGTTTTCGAGTCGGGTCGGTTTATAACCGAATATAGACTTTGCTCTGAAATATTACCGGGTCAGATCTAAGTCACGGGCCAACAGGTCGGTACTGGGACATTTTTGGATTTCGTCTCTATCTAATGCTGCCTAACGGGTTGGGCTAAAGGCTTCCTTTCATGGGCAATTAGTGCGTGACTTATAGGTCGGTTCCAGCTAAAATACTTGGGGCCAATTCGCCACCGAACCAACTTAGGAGTTTTTAGCTCAAGCTTAATAAATTTGTTTTTCTATTGGTTTATTTTTTTAAAAAAAAATTTAACTCAATTTTATCTTATCTTATTTTAATTTATAATTTTATTTTCTGTGCTTTTTTTTTTTTTGGTAAATATATATGGATGATATTGTAACTACATAAATTTGACAAAAGTTCCTTCTTTTATTTTTGGGTAAATCACACGTACAATTCCCGAAATTTGCTTAAAATATAAATTGTTTTTTATAATTCTAAAAATTAAAAATAACCCTTGTCAAAAATATTTTACTTAATATAATAATAGAAAAATTAAAATTTCTAATCACTCTCCTATATAATAATAAAATTATCAAAATAGCTAATTGAAATATATTTATGATATTATTAAACTACTAATTGATTTAGTAATTTATTAATAAAAAAATTATTTATTATGGAATTAAAATTTTAAAAGATGAACATGTAATTCCTAAAATTATAATGGGTAATTTGTACTAAGCAATCCTCATAAGTATATTTGTATGTCATTGGGCCTCGTTTGTTTTGGAGTATAGAGGGAGGGACGGACTACTTTTTATTTGTTACATATTGGGCATTTTTTTGAGCATTAATCTTTAATTTTTTTGTATTTTTGTTAAGTAAAAATCATTGTCTTATTTTTTTCTATTTTACTTTTATTTTTTTTATGTTTTACATGTTGGGCATTTTTTTTTAATATTCATGTTTAATATTTTTGTATTTATTTTATTATTTTATATAAAAATAATTTAACAATATCTACACCAACAACTATTATAAAAACAAATACAATTTTATTTAATCTACTCACTATCAATCTCCTCACTAACAATCTCTTCATTATGAATCCCTCATATTTTATCTTTAAAAACAAAAGGGGACTTGATCATTTTATCTCATCTTTTTAGCCAACCAATTAATTAGTGCCACTTGAGAAAGATTAAAAATTATATGAAAAATTTTACACCTAATGATTCCCTCTTCTCCTCTCTGTTTCCCTCCACAGATTTGCTCTTCCTTCCTGCTCCTATAATCGATCGACCAGCAAGTGCCTACTGATGAAAACACAGCCCCTCCCCCCCCTCGCTCTCTTTCCTAGCCTACATAAGCAATGACTAAACTCATGAATGACAACGAGAGGCGAGTAGTGTTTAATGATGGTCCTTGATGAAGAGAGTTGCGGTGAGGAATGGATGACAGCGAGTGGTAGGGTGGGATTGTGCGGGAGGAAATATCCTCTGCTTTCCGTACTCATTGGACTCCAAGCTTCACGTGACGGTGTCTAACCTGGCAACACAGAGAACGGTGAGCTGCCCGGCGATGGTGTGCCGGATAGACCCTCCGACGATCAAGTCAGATCACTAGAGAAAGAAGAAGGCTGTTAGAGAGAGAGAGTGTGTTTCAGATGGCGCAAGTTGCTTACCTCTAACGTTCACCTTCCACTCCTATTTCTAGGCTGGCCATGCAGCCTCAGGATTGTGCGCTCACTACCTCTGCTGTCCTCCCTTAGACAGGTGGCAGTGCTCGCCTCTTACCACCTTACGCGTGTAAAGGCCTAATCCTCCAACCAGTACATGCAGAACTGCCAAACGGTATTGACGCGTGCTTGGAGCAAATTTCCTCTCCCTCACGCCATTAGCCCAGGTGGCACACTCAACCGGAGTACCGCGACCGACCTATTCCTTGTGGAGAATTGCCACCACAGATAACACAACCGAGCTATGTATCGCCGACCTGTCCCATGGCAAGGGGCAAGAGTGTGATGCTCATGGCCGAGCTGTGTAGGACCGATCAGTCCTGGTTGACCGGCCGCGAGGCATGCCGGCCTTTCCCCGTTCTACCTTCATTCTTGGTTATATGAAGCTGGGCCATCTCGGCTGACGGATTGGAGACATGCCGACCCTCGCCTCGCCCTTAGTCTATCCCGGGCTGCTTTAGCTCGGTCACCTCAAATCACTGCGCGTCCAGCCGAATGCCTTCCCAGTCATAGCTCGGTCAGGCCTCAATCCATGCCTGGTCGACCAATCCCATCGGATGTACACGACAGGTCGGGGGCCGCGCCAACTGAGAACACAGCTCAGCACCGTGAGATTTTGACCAACCTGCGTTACCGTAGCTCGGTCGTACAGTCCGGTCTAAATCTCTCCTCTCAATTGCTCCTTAATCCCATCCGAGCTAATCGTGATTGGGGTCACCACCATGGCCGAGCTAACGGTCTTCTAGTTGCGCCAGTACCAAGCCGAGCGTGATCGGCTTCGAAGCCGTTACCGAGCTATCCCATTTGGTCGGTCATTGCTTCAGCAGTCTTGTCAAGGGTCGTACAACCGTACTGACAGCCGTCCTTTCGATACCACGTGGCTTCATCTCATTGGCCCCGTGCAGCCCCAAAGCTGTCTTTTCATGCGCGAAATTCAAACGGCGCAGCCGTTTGGTTTTTCCCCCCTTTTTATGCACAAACGAAGGGTCATTTGCACTCTCACTATTCACTTTCTTTCCAAGCAAAACCCTAGCCCCCAAGCTTTCCAATCGTTCCCTCCAAGCCTCCATCTCCACATTTATCCATTCTTGCTCCTGTAGAAGCCGTACTCAAGCTCGTGAGGCCTACTTTGCTTCGTATCTGCTTTTGGTGAGTTCTCTATCCCTTCATTGCATTTTCTGTTTCTGTTTCCCGTATCTTCATATTTGTTCTTCATTTTTTGTGCTCTTGTTCTTCGTGTTCTTGCTTGAGGGTGTTGGAATCACAACAGTCCCCCTCCTCTTTAGACTAATAATGATACATCCTAGAAAAACTAGAACTGTAGGAATGAATGGGGCCTTCGAGCCTCTATTTCACCTTAGCTTGAATGAATGGGCGTTGAATCTAGGATGAACTGGATGAACACTGACAGAACCATATTAATTTAGATCCATAAATCGGACTTAACCGAGCTAAAACTTGTTCGAGGTCTCTACTTGGGGCCTTGACCGAGCTAAATATTCAATGAGATCCGTTTATAGTACTGAACCGAGCTGAAACTTGTTCGAGTTCTCTTCTTGGGCCTTGAGAATCAAAACCGAACTAGGAAGGCCAAATCGACCAAGTAGTCGAGCCAAGATAGGGGTCGAACCGTCCAAACGCCAAAAATCCTTTTACCAGGGTAGGAACTCCATGTTGAAACCGTGCAATTTATGCCGTGCTAACCTTTCGAATTATTTTTCAACAATGCAGAACAAACTAGGACCGATCAGGCCCCTTCAGCCACTGGTGAAGCTCAACGCCCGAGCAAACACACCAAAATTTTTCACCGAGATACTGATTAAATCACCAAATAAAACCGAGATAGATGGGGAAGTACCGGTTCATGGTGAGCTCGCCCGGTGCGCTAGCCGAGTTTCATAGAGAATACAACATTCCAAACGACGTCATTTTAGAGCTAGCTAAGAAGGAGGATACCCCATGGGGCGACCTAGACCGGTGCCCCTTCACGATCGTATCCATAGTGGAGGGAGGGCTTCATTTCCCGGTCCAACCCTTGATCTGCGAGTTTTTGAGGCAAATAAGGCTTTGTCCGACCCAAGTCTCCAACAACACATACAAAATAATAAACGGAGTCGCTGAGCTGAATAAGAGGCTCAGTCTGAATCTCGGCCTTGCTGAAATATTCCATCAGTACAGCCTTAGTAAAAATTAGGGTGGGTTTTGCTGGTACCTGAAGGTCAAGAAGGGTCGAGCAAAACTCATAGAGGGTAACCCAGACAAGGAGACCAATAACGATGATTTCTTGTGGGTGTCCGGTCATTACGAGGACACCGAGGTGCCAATACCGGGCTGGTATATTAGGAAAGATTTTGGCAGTGCTGGTGAGTAGCTCAGCTAACCACACTAGTTTCTTTCTGCACCAGTTTTTCTATATGCCGATCTAACACTTGTCTTCTTTTTGTAGATTACAAACACTTGGCAGAGGACTACAACCGCGCCAACCAGGAAGCCACAGAGTTCTGCTGCGTCATCCTGCCGAGGAGCATGAATCTTCCAAATTGCTCGGCTTCGAACCGACCTACAACTACAGAGCGCCGCGCAAAAGCCGGGTCACCGACTTTCTTCGTGCTCCTTCCCCAAAACCTGACCCAAACCTTCCACCGATCAAGCTTGTCCCTCTCACCGCCGAACAAGAAATGGAAAAAATCCGGGCAGTCAAATCAATGATCACCGGCGAACCGAGCGACTCCCAACCACCAGAGGCATCTGGGGGGACTTCCTCCAATCCAGCCGGGCAAAAGAAGGGGGCTGTGCTGGCTCTTGCCAGCGAGCAACCAACAGACCGGTCGAAGAAAAGATCGAGAAAAGACCAGACAGAGCAGCACCTTTTTGATGAGGACTCCACCGAACATGCCTCCACCGAGCTGGGGGACCAGACCGAGCAACAACCAACCGAACCATCCAAGAGTCCAACCTCCC